GGTAAAGCTTAATTGCTTGCGACTCGGACGAATTCGGATGATTGATGGTTTCGTGGATTGTCGCGTGGATTAGATGGATGGTGTTTCAAGGCTGCCAAAGACTCGAGTAACACATGGTGTTTTAAAAGGCTTGAGCCGTTTTGTGGAGTGTAATTGAACGGTTGGGTTGCATTGTAGTATTTAATATCTTTTTATGGATGGGAATTATGATTGTGTCGAGAGATAGTGGTTGATAAAATACGTATATTAAAATTAGATACATCATTGATATATATACATATATTTGTTTTATATATATATGTGTGTGTATCATTGAGAAATTTGATGCATCGATAAAATTGATTTATATTGGAACGTGTATTGCAATTTTTTAATCAACGAAAAAATTTATTTCGTTGATTATTACATTTTTCAAATTAATTTTATAATATTACGATATCGTAATATTTTGGTGAAAAAAATATTTGCACAAAATAAATTAGTTTGTTTTAATTTTTATATTCTTATTTTCCGAGGGTCTTATATTTATATTATTACGAGTTTCGATAACCGCGATGGAATGTTATGGGTTATACAGACGACGGGACAAGAAATAAAAACATCGATTGTTATTGATATCCAAAATCGATTTAGTCGTCTTTCGAACACAAAGCGAAACAGATGTGTTTTGCTTTTCGTACGAACGTTGTATACGTTTAATAAATTAATTATTTTTGTGTGTGAATAATTATAAATAAATTAATTATTATAATTATTGTAAAAATTGTACTAGCCGAATATCAAATTTTTATATGAAAGTATTATTTTATTGAATTATTGTTATAAAAAATACAACAATGTGCAAATATTTTTTTTAATCATAAATATATATACAATTAGAAAATATCCATCATTAATAGTTACGTATGTGGATAATTTCGAATAGTGCATTTGGAAGTGAGGCAAAAAAAGGATTACAATTTTACGAGGTTTGCTTTCATATCATAGGTTTTTTTCATGGTCAGTCTAGGATATTAGGATAGGATTTAAATCATGGTGGTTTCATTGGGTAGAGTAGTATTTATTTTTAGAATTATGATTGATTCGTAGAAATCGATTCACTTGGAGGATGAATTTTTTGTGAATGTTGAAATTGTTTGAGTGGTCGAGTTGATAATGAAGAGAGATGGTCTTGTTTCTGTACGGTGTTTTCGCAATGTTGGGATGAGGCTGTTCTCTTGGGAAACTTTGATGAAAGTTTTTCTCCTCTTTTTGTGAAAGTTTCTCTTGGCATTCATAGTGAAACGACTCGGGATATTAAAATTCTTGGGATTAATATTTTTGCAAAGCTTTGTAAATTGTGTTTATTACATTTATTTGCTATTTCGTACATATAGATATGTATGATGTAATTAAATTTAATTTTGCAAAATTAAATTAATCTTATTAGGTAGGATTTGTTTAACTTATAATATAATAGTTTTCTTTATTGTTACGTATGTAAGATTCGTTATATTTATATATATAAAAAAAATGAAATTTAATATCATAGAAAAAAATTTAATTGAAAAAAAGAAACATTTTGAATTTGTCACGAGATCGAATCAAAAAATTCGATAAATAGAAGAAAAATAATTCGTATCAATATAAATTACAGATCTTACATACATTTATAAAGAAAATCTATTTATATTTTAAAGTTATACAGATAAATTGTTATTAGAAATCGTTCGTACTTTTTATTTCATTTTGTCTATGTATCTCGATGATAAATATTTGTCGAATAAATATCTATAAATGGCGTCGCATATTATTTCCAAGAAATCTCAAAATACATCAAAACGATTTATTAAGATATCTTTATTTAATAATTGCCAAGAAAACAGTTTGAATCACACTTTTTCACCCTCGTTCCTTCCTAACCTTGGCTGCCATCTGTTATCATTTCTCGGAATTTCTATGCATTCTCTTTATCTTTTATTCTTTATACTCTTGTATTTTTCCTTTTTTTTATTTTTTGAAAAAAATTCGTATGAAGGATTTCCAATGGCAGAAGAAGAATATCGATAAGATAAATTCACACTAACTAATAAGAATGTAATAATAAAACGCATTTAAATTAGATCATCGACTTATCATCCGTGTTTTATTCGTGGAACAGAGATAGTCGTCAAATACCTCACTTATTTATTTAATACCACTTATTTACAATAATACATTATTAAATATATAACACCATTCATAACTAACAAAATTATACATCCTTCGCGCGCAACAATTTATTTGGAACGGTTCCAATTGGATAGATAAACGATTTGAAAGTCATCTTACGGGTCTTCTATTATCACAATTAATCGAAATCACGTCACATTCCGTTGGCCACACCTTCGACCACTCCGTGGTGAACGGAGAAACATGTCACAGTGTGCAATGTAATATTTACATTTCAATTAGAATCAATTAGAATCTTAACATCGTCTTGGAATAGAGTGGTAGATCAGCACAGAATTTAGCAGAATTTAACAGAATTCCGGATATTTTTCTTCAATGGCGAGATATATTTCCTGGTCGGTCTATCGAGATGAAATTTAGTGGGTGTCATATAAAGACATATAAATATTTTAATTTTGAAAATTTATGGATTTGGAAGATATAAGCAGATTTTATCGTAGTGTATCTTTGTATTTTTTTTCTTTAAAATTTTCGATTTTTTTCGATTTTTTTAATAATTTTTTTAATAAATTTTTATACGTGTTGTTTTTCTATCGTATCTTCATTTTATTCAGTTTCTTGTTCTTTCTAACATCAAAAATCTTAATGCACACAGGAAAATATTTAAACAAGAGAAAGATAACTTATTTTAGATTAGATTATATATAGAGTAACATCCTCGTTTATCTTTAGTTTAGTTTATTTGAAATTTATTGAAATCTATATATTTACTCGGTTAAAACATAATTATTATTTATTTATTTATTTATTAATTATTATTATTTATTTTTTAGAAACCAAATAATAATTAATCTGAATAAAATTTTCTCACTTTTCCTATATCTCCTGAACACACAAATTTTGAGAATCTCTTCCATATTTTCTCTCATATTTACACCCACTAGTTTTGTCTCGATGGGCTGACTCGTATCATTCACAATCGAAAATCCTAAATAATCAAAAGTATTCCACAGTCAAGAGCAAGACGTCTTGTTTTCCGGACGTGAGGTGCCAAAATTTGTCCGCCTCCACTCTTCCTGGCTGATGGACGATCACACAAGTATGTAAATAGTTCCTGAAATACACGAAACATCGATTTCAAAATATAATGATTCGCATTCGATTATCGTTTACCTTTATGTCCATGTTCGATGATGCTTGGCGTGTCCCGTTGCAACGAAAAGAAAACGAAATAAACGAAACAATAATTCATTAATTATTCGACACAAGCGTGTACGATACATTGGCCGTTCAATGTAAGAATCGACAACGAAGGAACAAAAGAATCTCTGTAATGGCACGTTTCCAACAAACGGGACACATTTGACGATGCACTGTTATATGTCGTATCGTTTGACACATAATTGAATAGGCAATACGATCGATTAACCGATTTCCGTGTACCTTCTTTATTCTATTATATCGTCTGCAATAGCGATATTTTATTCGTAGGTTCCTTTTCTTTTCTCTTTGGACCGTTTTAATACTGTTCGTGATATTTATTGCGAATAGAATGTATTACGTTTGTCGTTCGATAAATGTATCTTCAAAAATGAGGCGTTGATTGTTCGTTCGTCACACTTTACTTAACTTACAAATTTCTTTCATCCTCAATAGTTACGACGAATATTTTATTCTTCTTCTCAAAATAATCGAATTTCATTCGATTTTTGCACAAAGGTTATGCGACTCGATTCCAAATAAAGCTGGTTCTACTGCCAGATAACTTCGCGTTAAATTAGTACTAGACTCTACGCTACATCTCTAGCGGCCATTTTCAAATATTCCATTCCATTGCATGGTATTCAATTTCAAAAAAAAATATCGTTTCATATCGAAACAAGATCTACTCTACATCTTTGGCCATCTTCGGAGAATATCTCGCTCTCCAACACCCCCCTCCCCGAGTTCAAAATAAACCATAAAGCGATCACGTTCGATCCCCGAAATACATCGTAGCATCAAACTTCGTCAATACGTATAATATCAATCACCTATTCCCCAACGTGACCAAATTTCTCCTCCTCCAAATCTACCTCCTCTGGCTACGTAGCCAGAAACACGACGCGTATACCGTGGCCAAACCAGGACACGATGTACAGTGTCACGTCCCATCCGCAATCCGCGCCAGCCTTCGACAACCTCCCCATCCTCCAACCTCCAGTGTCACGCGAAACCGAAATCAAATATCGATCCTCAATTACTAACAGATCTGTTCTCGCTCTCCATCGAGCCTCGTCGAGCGATTCTGTCCCTCAGAATCGCCCCTTGCGCGATCCCATAATGCTCGAACGGATCCTTGCCATAGTAAACGACGCTCTCCTCGACCCTGTGACTCCCCTTGTGCTTGGGCGGCGTACACGTCCTCGCAGGGGTGGTGGTCGGGCTGTTCTTAGGCGTGAGCACCTTGCTAGGCGTGGACGAGGGGGAGCTATTCCTAGGCGAATTCGGCAAATTCGAGCCAGGATTGTTATTATCCCCAGCCACGACCTGATTGTTGATACCTTGAATCGCGTTGAAGCTCTGCATGACCAGGTGAGAGGCGGCCGACAACGCGTGCGGATTCATCACAATCGGTCCGGATTTCTCGTTTCTGGCCACTATCATCACGTTCGATTGATTCTCCACTCGAGCCACGATGGGCGGCATCGCCACCGATGCGTTTTCTACTCGAGACATCGATTGGGTCGCGGATCGATGTTCAACTCTCGGGGTCGAGCTCTCGCCTCGAGCCACCGGCGATTGGCCGTTCGTTACCGGCATCACTGACCTCTCCACAGATCGGCCGATCCCCATTTTCGATCTGTCTGGTTGTTGCGTGGAATTGGCCAGCACCACGGCCGACTGGCTTCTCCTGGCGGAGGACTCCGATCCTCCGCTTCCGTTCAGCACCG